CATTTCCTCCCACCTCTGTGTCTGTGTCCATGGAAGTCTTACACACACTTGGGTCACAGCACTAGTTGTTTCCCTCAAATTGCCTACCAGGGGCTCTTGCCTTTACAAGAAATGGGTCTAGAAGCAGAGGTGCAGATGTGATAACGCCCAGGTAGCACAGACACAGTGGCCTGATTATGCCGTGCCTACAGAGCATTGGGTCTGCCAGGTGTCCTTCTGGAAGCACAGTTCCTTCAGCGCTGACAGGGGAGGCAGAACAGCCAGAGCCAGCTGGTACATCCCATACCAAAGATTTCACTGTGACAGAATTTAGTAAATGAAAACTCAGCCAACAATCGTTGGGAGAGAGATTATTTGACACAGGAGAAAGGCTGTCCCCTAGATGAGGTTGCTTTTTAACTGGACACTTTGGCTCTCTTCCATTTTCTTAGGGGAGGGCAGACAGGGGAGGGAGAGCATGTTACAAATGTTCACTGAACCAAACATACCTTTGGCCAAGTTAGTGCCAAATTGGGTAGGTTTCTGATGTCACTCTTAGGTAGATAACTAGCTAAAACTGACTTGAAAATGTCTCAGGCAGAATCCCAGCTTCAAAGAAGCCATAAGGACAGGCCAACTTCCACTAGGTCACAGTCTGCTTTTCCAGGATAAGCAAAACTGAGGACTGGCAAGAATTACAGTTCTTGGATTTTAATTGCTCTTATTTGGAACACATGCACTGGTCAAGTATTGACTGAATAGTCAATAGTTAACTTTGATGAAGTAGAAAGTGTGCCCTTCTAGTTAGATATAGACTATTTAAATTTTATGCTGTATGTAGGTAATAAAACATTTTTAAAAGCAGAAGAAAACATATAACAATACACACAGCTTTCTCAGTGGATTTTTTAAAATGCTTTTATAAGTCTAGTCCAATAAAAAATACATCAGTCATGCAGTAGTCTCTGAGAAGATCATGTGAGAAATGGTCAAACTTGTAGAACCAGCTTAACGGACAGACTTTGAATTTTTGGCAGCAGAGGTGTGTAGCTGTAGATTGAAACCAAACCTTTTCTGCCAACATTAGTGAATAGTGCTGAAAGCTCATGCAAAATAGGACAAGCTAGACCCTTGACTTTTTTCTCACAATTGTTCCTTTTTGAATCACTGCTTTTGCATGCAGAAGTTTGTTAGATTCATCCATTATGCATGCCCTAGAAATTTGATAGAGATCTCATATGTTCCTTCTAAGAGGATAAAGCCAGCTGCAGCACCCAATTGTAAAGATGTGGTTACTGGCTTGAAAGGTCATTATGTGTATTATTTGGTATTCTTCTGGCTTGAATCTGTTTGATGGGAATTTATATAAATGCCAGAGACAGCACACAATTATTCTTTAAATAAAACAAAGACTCAAGAGGTTATTACCTCTAGTAAAGATTTCATCTTTCTAGTGATAACATAACGTGTTACAAAAGACATTGCATAGAACTAGCTGTAAATCTTGGTGTCTGCCTCTTTCAGAAGTGTTTTAGGAATAAGACTTACATCAACTAACCTGTTCATGTACCTACCAGATTGTGCTAAGCTTGGAATTACTCTGTGTTTTTTTTCTGTTATTTCTGAAAGAGGAGTCATCAGTGTCAGTGGCTTTGTTTTAGTAGTGTTTGATTAATAGCAATTTACCGCGTCATTTTCACCTACTGCTGTATTAGGTTAACTGTTCATTAAAATCTCAGAAGAAGGTGCCATCACCAATAGTCTTTTTTTCCAGCATCTGGATTTCCTAGTTTTCCCCTTAAGTTTGGTGTGAATAAGCCATCTGAAAGTAGGATGAAATGTGTATGATCAAGCTAACTTCTTGTGTTAAATAGTCGTTATTATTACTACCTAGTTCTGTGTGATTTTATTGACAAGCTGTACAAATCTTTCTAGAGATATGCTCTGCTGTGTGTGAAACAAACGTGGAATACAGATGCTACTGATGAAATTTTGTTACTGATTTTTGTTCACACAAAAAGTGTACGAAATAGTGTCAGATAAAAAAATTGAGACCTTGCTCTGGTTTATATTTTTCTTCCTTTATGAGAGATTTAATTGGAAATCTAGCAGGAAATTAGACTTAACAGATTAGATTACCAACTTCATGGCTGACATGCCATGAAAGATGAAGTGCCTGTGCCTTTCATATTGCACTCCAAAGATGCTATATGAAATATTTGGGTTTTCTTGTGGATTTAATGTTATCAAATATGACATCAGCAGCATCAGTAGCCAAAATATGCTAAGGTAGATAGGATAGAAAAGCTACACAAGTTCTTGTGTAGTTCAAGTTTGGAACTTGAGTGAAGAACCTTCTGTGTTGCCATCTTGAACTGAAAAAGGAAAAAGAAAGCTACAGAAGCTAAACCATCTGTACATAGCCCTACTGACCATTCGTTTCCTAAGGATCTTTCCTTAGGAAAGCATTTGGAAGGATTGCTTTTTCAGGGCTAGCCTCTAGAGTATTTCATCATGTCAGCCAACCACTCCACCGGAGTATAAATTAATGGTAACATACCTCTTATGAAAGTCCCTTTTGGAATTTGCCAGTCTACCTTATCTGGTACACAGTATGTCTCTGGGGAAAATTATTCAGAAGTGTCTACTTGGCTGTCATTTCTTCATACAAAAGAGATCAGAGTTCAGCATGTAAAACCAGAGATGGAGAGAAAGCAAGCTGCTCAAGTCTTTCTGTCTGCCTTACTTAGGTAGAAAAACTTAGACACCCCAGGGCAAAGTCTTAGATACCCCAAGTCACACAAAGCTATTTTCACTGGCTTGAGTACTGCACTTGAGAAAGATTTGTCTCTCTGTAGAGGGATCACAGTTCCGTGCTTCTTGACAGAATGCGATTTCTTATAGCCATGTTTATCCCAGGGACCTTGTCAGAAGTGGGTTACCATCCTCCACGTACTTTGGTATTCTGTAGCTGTCTGAAGCAGGAAGGAAGCACTTGTGCTTGTGAAACTGTGCTGGAAATAATTCAGCTTTTTACATGTGACAGGAGGCTTTTAAACCAGACTACCTGAAACTGGTTAGCTGTTTCTCTTTAAATTGAAGCTGCCAGAAATACTTCACTGTTGACAAAAGAAAAGAGGAGGCAAAAGCCATGATCAAGGAGCCCTCTATATGGCGTAATCTAATGCCATTTACCTATTACTGTCAACAGCAGCAAGGAGATTCAGCATCTACAGGAAATTTAAATGAAAAGGTTAAAACTCTGTATACACCTTGATATGGATCACAAGCATCGTCACAAAAGACAGCTAAACTTGACTATTAATTTCAGAGGCCACAGTCTTTTCCACAAACTGCACGCAGTTTTATGCACACACTCGTGGTTGTGGCATCTGCAGATTAAATACAATTTTAACTCTTATCAATGCAGGAGATGGAATTAACTATAGCCCAGAAAGGATTCATGTATCAACTGCAGATACTCCATATCTAACATAAAGTATTTTCAGGAAGAGAGCTGGAGCAAGACATATGAAAACATTTGGAGCCTCAGGTGTTCAGGTCAAAGCACATTGCAAGAGAGAGATTTTGCAGATATCAAGGATGGAGAAATCAGTATTTTCTACAGCTTTTTCTTGTGTTGACAGTGCAGCTTTAGTTGGAAACATTAAGCACTCCTCACAGAAATAGTGGAAAAGAATAGTAGGAAAAATGCTCCTTTTTGCTATGGGGATGAGGTTTCTTTTGAGGTCAGTGGTAATTGCTTACTTATATGCTCTTGGGAAGGGAAAAAAAGAGTCAGAAGACTGCAACAGAAGGACTATGCTTATATTTGACATAGAAAGACTTCACCATGATTACCTGATGATACTCTGCCTGGTTTGTTCATTCAGAAAAAGCAGTATTAAAACTACTGTGTAAGTGGATAGGCTGAAGTTTGGCGGGTGGGTTGGCGAGATGTTCCTGGTTGGCCTCATTGCCATGGCCCTGTCAGCACACATCAGCTATAACCCATAGGAACTAAATCCAACAAGTCGTATTTCATCCTTCATGCTTTTTGAATCTAATCTTGTTTTAACAGTTTGCTGGGTGTACCAGATGATTGATGCTGTCACACTGCAGATAAAAATTATCATTCTGTCATTTTTATTCCATATTTCAGAATCATTTTGGTGCAAGCTGGAATCTAAAGCAATATTACACATTTTTTTCTATGGTTTGCTTTAGTTATAAAAATAATCCATCTAATTCTCAGCGATTCATTGGCAGACATTTCCTAAATACAGACCTAGAATGACTTAGTAGATTAGTTGAACCTGAATATGTTTTGAAATATATGTGCTGGCTGTACTTCTTTTTAAATAAGCTACAAGGAGATATAAATGAATATAGGATCAGAACCTTGTGAAATACATGAAAGGAGAACAATTATGTTTAGTCATGTGTGTATTTGGCCTAGTTTCATAATAAACATCACAGGGTAATATCAGCTGTCCACAATTACATGGGATGTAATGAAAAGGTCGTTACTGAAAAAAATTAATTGAGCTGAAATTTTAGCATATAATACGGTCAGAGTTTTTACCTGTAAAGATGGCCTGCAAGGACTGTGCTTTGTTTGATTTAGGGCTGAGGCCTCAAAATGGCATTTAAATGGTCTTCTACCATCTGTGATTATTAGCAGGTCATAAAATAACTGTAAAAAGGAAAGACACTGACTTTTGGTATAGCTGGAGTTCCGTTATATACTTCAGAAATAGGTATTTACCTTATCTTAAAGTCTACTTGACTTGAATTTACTGTTCATATGAAATGATGAAGTTGCCTGTGTCACAAGTCACACGT